TGAAATTCGCTTAAACAATTCAAGCCATACTCATGGCAACTGCTGGGCACCCTCAAGTGGGATAATCCCCACTTGGACGTCGGACCTATGTTGCTAGAGCAAGTAAGGCCACACCAAGTAGGATTACCTCCTGCTTGGAACCCAACCTGCTTAAGACAGCAGAGGCCCACAACCCTCTGGTCACTGCCTTGCAGTGTCGATGGGCAACCTGTGGCCTGCAAGTAGCGTCACCTCTACTTGGAAACCCAGCCTCCTGGAGGGAAGTCAGACCCAACAACCTCCAGTTCTGCTGAATTTGCAAAAAAAAACAAGTGCCCAGAAGTAGGATCACCCCTACTTGGTAGCTGAAATTCGCTTAAAAATTCGAGCCAGATTCATGGCAAGTGCTGGGCACCAAAACGTAGGATCGCCCCCACTTGGACCCCAAAACTATGTCACGAAAGCAAGTGCGGCCACACCAAATAGGATTACCTCCTGCTTGAAACCCAACCTGCTTAAGACAGCGGAGGCCCACAGCCCTGTGTTCACTCCCTGGCAGTGCCAGTGGGCAACCTGTGATCCTCAAGTAGCGTTACCTCTACTTGGAAACCCAGCTTGCTTGGGGCAGTCAAAGTAACCAACAGCCTCCAGCTGCTGAAATGGCCAGAAACCAAGTTGCCCAGAAGCAGGATCACCCCTACTTGGAAGCTGAAATTGTTCTTAAAACTTCAAGCCATATTCATGGCAGGTGTTGGGCACCCTCAAGTAGGACCACCCCCACTTGGACCCAAACCCTATGCCCCTAAAGCAATACGGCCATACCAAGTAGGGTTACCTCCTGCTTGAAACCCAACCTACTTGAGAACGCAGAGGCCCACAGCCGTGTGGTCACTCCCCCTGTGGTCCAAGCAATACTCATGGCAAGTGTTGGGCGCCATCAAGGAGGATCACCCCCGCTTGGACCCCAATATATGTCACGAAAGCAAGTACGGCCACACCAAGCAGGATCACCTCCTGCTGGAAACCCAACCTGCTTAAAACAGCAAACGCCCACATTTCTGTGCCCACTGCCGACACCCAGCTTGCTTGGGGAAGTCAAAACCAGCAGCAGCCAGCGCTGCTGAAATCGCAAATATCCAGGTTTCCAGAAGTAGGATCACCCCTACTTGGAAACTGAAACTCGCTTAAAAAGTCAATTCATATGCATGGCAAGTGTTGGGAACCCTCAAGTGCTGGGCACGCAGTGCAAACAGAGCCAAATGGATCAAATGGCCGAGCTTTGCTAACCCCGAATTGCTAGAGCGCCCTCTCACCAAGGTCATGACTGCGGCAACGTTGTCGAGGAACCAGAGACCATGTCGATGTCGAAAAAGGTCGGGGCGCTCGATCAAGGCGCACAACACCATAGAGAGCTCCAGTTGCGTGCCTTGATGGCCATGAGACCGCCATACCCGACTCGCCCAGAAATACCTTGCTCCAAGAAGATTGCAAGTCTATAAAGTTTGGAAGCTGTGCCTCGAGTAAAGTGGCCTGCTTGACGTGCTGTGGCAAGACATCACGAACTTTGCCATGGAGTCTGGTGCGGGCCCAAAAACGAAGATGACCTGTCTTATTGATGCAACTCAGGTCATGGGTAAGTCCCAAAGAAGCGCCAGTGCTCTGCATGGTCTGCGTTTTGTCTTCCGCAAATAAAGATCCGATCATCAGGCATAGTTGTTTCATCGCCCATTGCCCGGAGCCCTTGGCAGAGCGGACATCAGTGATCGCGGCATTAAAGTACAGGGATGTCAAAACTTGGCAATACCAGCGAGTCAGCGCTTCCAACAGTCTGGGAAAATCAGTTGAACGAAGTGATTGCCAGGGGGAGCCTAAACAAGAGGCCTGCATAGACCTGGGATACCGGAGTTTGCCACTCATCAGTGAAACCAGACGACAACGCAGCCTAAGCTCTCCTGCTGACATGGGGCAGTACCTGTAGGCAGACGGCAGGTCCTCTTAGCCTGTCTCCCAGGCATCATGGTGACAAAACTCGGCGACCTCGTCCTCAGACCAACGACGCATAACCAGGCTTATGGGCGACTACATAGTGTAAGCATGTTGGCATCGGAAGAAAGGTCTGATTGCCCTCCGGTGTCACCGTTGTCGATGACTCGTTGTTTCCCCGAACTTTGGGTGGTCACACAGCGCAGGATAAGACGATGTGCCCGGCCGCCAATGTCCCTGAGGAACTCTGCTCGCCGCAGAGGAGGTGTACAAAAACCGTTTCTGGCGTCTTCCAAGGACTGCTGCAGCAAGAATGCATCGCTTCGCCACGTGCTGCTTGAACTCCAGGAACACAGCAGCATGGAGGAGCGACGCCTCGGTGGCCGCCGGGATATCGCTCCCACGAAGCTTACGCTGCATGCACGGTCTCCCCTTGCAACTACCAGGTCACCCCTTACGATGCTTGTAACCAACCAGGTCACCCCTGGTTATTGATGTGGTGAGCCGCTCAATCAAGGTCTAGGAAGGTCACCCCTTACCAGGGCCAGGAAAGAAACAGCAATGAATGCTATTTTGGCTCAGCTCCACTTGAGCCAAAATGAAAGCATTCATTGACTCACTTAAAGATGACACATGCACACCCAAGCCTGCCAAACTCAATGCATGAATATAATGGATATATACTGGATATAGAATGGATATATAATGGATATATAATGGATATATAATGGATATATAATGGATTTTATATGGATCATAGAGTTATTTCATGATATTTAACACAGGATTGATGGTGATGAGTAGCCTCTGGTAATCAAACGGGGCTGGAAAATCCCCGCACGAAATGCAGGTTTTCGTATGTTTTAGTGGTAAAAGTATCTATAGTGGATTTTCCACCTTTGATTAGTGAAAGGTACCCTCTGGTAATTTAACATAGCTATTGAAAATGGCCATTTATAGTGAGTTTTCCCATTAAAAAAGGTGATTTTCAATAGCTATGTTGGATTACCAGAGGGTAATAGTTATTTTCATCCACAACATAGTGACAAAACACATCTGCACCTGTCAAGTTATTGGGGGTCCTAAGGTCTTCTCCAAAGTTGGGAAATCCACGAATGTTTGAAACCAATCAGCTGACATATCCCACCATCGGCCAATTTATTTGGGAATATGGATTTGCAAGGATTTGCACATGATTCCAGTTCGTACTTTTTCGTACTTCAGAATTTCATCCAGAGTGTATCATCCATGGGTAGGCATGGAGACTCTAAGGACCAATCCAAAGTTGCTTCTTTTTTGGCAAAGTGAAATCGTGAATTTCTCCAGATAGTCCAGGTTCACCTCAGGATGATTTCACACAAAGAATTGTGGATTCGTGGACTGATATTGGACTGATTCACTTGAATATGCACAATATGCAACATGATTCACCACCCAAAATGCCTGATGTCGTCTTCCTGGTCGTGCATTTTGCACGACAACGTTCTTTCGGTCCATTGCTATCGTTTGACCCATAAGCCATACCTTAAGGAAAATGGGTCATATTAAATTGATTAAATATCCCCACTGCATCTCATGATGTCCACATTATGGTTGGATAGGTAAATCACCCATTCAAATGGATAAATCCCCCATTTTTGCTCAGGACTTCCCCTGGCTCCTTGCCACCGAAACAAATGGAGATGCTTCCACTACCGCCTCCAGAATGCATTGAAAACGGAATCCGACCCAGCAAAAACATCTTTGATCCATCCCAGACATACATCAGGAAAACAGATCCTTGAACAAATATGAATTGATAGTTAGACTGCAATCAGAATACATCAGTATAATTAATCACAGAAAAAGACGATTACATGAGTATCATCACCAAATTGGGATCATAATCCGAAAGATGTTCAGAACAAATCATTGAAACCACCAGCGAGAAGCTAGTGTTGGGTAAGCTTGATACCCCTGATCAAATGGAATTGCCCTTACAATAGCAATCAAACATTGAGAAACCGTTTGTAAGTCGGTGTCCGATACCTATTGAAACCATCAAGGGTTTCCCGAAACAAGGACCAGTGTAGACAAATCTCATGTCTTCGGAACAAAAGCATCAGATACACGTGCTGTTGCAAAACTGTACTGATCTGTACTGGTGTCATCATCCCCAAATGATCCCAATTTTTTTTGGTGTACCCTCTGGTAAACTAACATAACTACGGAAAATCACCATTTTGTATGGGAAAATTCACTATACATGGCCATTTTCAATAGCTATTTTGACATAACCAGAGGGTAGTGGATCAAGAAAAGGAATCGATCGTTCATCCGACCAACCGTCGGAAGCAAATCGGTAGTGCCGTGCCTTCGGCTGGCGGCTGCAGAATCGGTTCACTGATGTTGGAGTGGAGCAGCCGCAGAGCCGCCTGCAGTGGAAGATGATCTCTCTCTTCATCTATACATATGTATATAATATGTATATAATTGTATATAGATGTGTGTGTGTGTGTGCATGTATGCAATGCTTAGTTTTATATGTATGTGTACATGAATAATATGTACAGCAATCTACCTATACAATTTATATTTACGTATATGGATCTCAATATAAGAATACGTATTATATCTACATATCATCTACATATGTACATGTGTGCATATCTATATACACGATAGATATGTATGTATGTATATATATATATATAATCATATGAATCACATGTACATTATGCAAGGCCAATGACCGCAATTTTGAAACCCAAATTGGATGCTCTTCAGCATTCAAAATAGGAGCTGTGTAGCTTGCAGACAGTATATTTTGTAGATATCGATGGGCCAGCAAGTTGAGCCAAACCAATATGTACCGGTTGGATCTGGTGGTTTCTACTGGTTTCTACCCTGGTTAGCAGCAGCCAGTGCCAACTGGCACTGCGGAAGTTGCTGGCTTTGCCTCAGCCCTCAATTACACTTGTCAATTACTAAGTTCATATCAGAAAATTCTGATCATGACCATGTCATGGCTGCGGTGGCTTGACTGGCCGCCTCTTTTTCCATCGGGCAGCAAATCTACAGTGAATCTGATGGTTGTCAAGCCAATCTTCTCGCAAGCCGACCCCAGGCAGAAGCAAGGCGGTCAAGGTCATTGGGCCCGTGACTGTTATCCCTGGAACGTGTTCTCGCTCGAGCTGGGGATGTCGGTGGAGGAGGATTCATCGGGGTCCAACTTTTGACATTGGCAAGGCTTCGCTCCAGCACCTTCTGCACCAGTTCCGGATGATCATAGCAGAGTTTCCAGTCTTTTTCACCTGCCCTCAGCAAAGTATCAATGGAACTCGTCTCATAGTCCTCGAGCCCTAAACGATGAGCCCGGAGCACGCGAGGCACCGTCGCTGGCTGCTTCTTGATGAACTTAATGCATTCACCATGCAAACTCTCAATGCAGTACTCATCACACCAACGCATCAGCAACTCCACATTTTGCTCTGAAACCTTCCGCAGCCGGCCTACTCCGGGTTGAAGGAATTCTAGAAGAACTTGAAACTCTGCAGGGTTTTTACCCGGCAACACGATCCGACGGTTCTTCTTCTCTCTCATTTCCTGTGTCAGCATCTTGTGGAAGACGGGAGATGCCAACATCAGAACCGCAGAATGTGTTCTGATTTCTGTGGCAGCTTCATCATCGAATATGACTGTGATGTCCTGCGTTCCGTGCAGAAACCCGCTGATCAAACTTGGAGACGTCCGACTTGGGAGTGCATCTGTAAGTGCATCCCACTTAGTAAATAGTTTTTTTTGCACCCAATGAATATCACATAATATCACTAATCAATATATGGAATCTCCCATGGGATATGATCATTGATTAGTGATATGGATGGGATATAATCCCATGGATGGATTATAAATATATGATATGAATCTCCCATGGGATATAATCATATAACATCACTATATATGGGATATGGATGGATATGGGTTATCTATGGTTATCCCTACCAAGTGATACCAAGAATCCATGGATCCAAGGAGTGTCCGGCCCTGTCCTCCATGAATGCCCCGGAACAAATCGGCGGGGACACAGGCGTTCTGAGCCCCAAAAAAATGCTGGCACAATATGGCGCAATCATCAAACAACAATTGGGTGTGTCTGAAAACAGGGTCTTACCCTGAAATTTCATGGTCAATCATTATCCCATATGATCCCCATGGAAAATTGCCATTCAAGGTGGTACAACTTGTTGAAATCCAGCTCCGGTGGCATCCTCAACGGGACCAGCTATCTGGGATGCTTTACACCACCCATATGCCATATCTGGAAACATTGGGGGGTTCGGTATGTTTGGCTTTGCCATGTTACTAAGGTGTTCTAATGATTTCTAGCGTATTCTGATAGGTCCTCTCTTGCTCCAGGTTTCTTACAAGTCCCAACTTTTCCACGACTTTTTGGCCGCAAAGGTTCCAACTGCACGAGCTGCGGATTGAAGCCACCCCGGGCCTTTCAGTCGAACGCACAGCGTTCCAGCCGCAAAACAGTCTGAAACTGTTCAAAATCCTGAAGCTTTCGAATCCTTTACATGTCTCTCCTGCAAAAAGAGTGTTCATTGAGACCTCCAATACGACGGTTGCGGTTGCGGTGGTGGTGAGACAGGGTGCCATCTTTTCACGTTTACGAAAGTGCGCTCAAGCACCCTCTGAACCAGCTCCGGATAGTCATAGCAGTCCTCAGGGGTGCATCACCGTCATCGCCCCGGGAACCGTCCCCCAGCAACCATGTCAAGCTCAAGCTCAACAGTGATGAATATATGAGAATATCAAGAATGGATTGAAATCCGGCAAAATGAACCAACATGGGACATTTGCAAACCCTTTCCTTCCAGTCCGTTTGGCCAGAGCGCAGCAGATGATCAATACAACTCGTCGCATAGTCATGGAGACCTAAACAATGAGCTAGGACCACGCGAGGAACTGTTGCTGGCTGTTCCTTTATGAAGTCAATGCATTCTGTATGCAAACTCTCCATGCAATATTCATCTGACCAACGTGATAGAAAGCCCACGTTCGCATCCGAAATCTTCTGCAGCCGACCGGTTCCGGGCTCGAGAAAATCCAGTAGAACTTTGAACTCCTCTGGGCTTTTGCCAGGCAATTCGATTCGATGACTTTGCTTCTCCTTCATCTCCTGCGTAAACATCTTGTGGAAGACTGGAGAAGCCAACATCAGAAGAACAGAATGTGTTCTGATTTCTGTGGCAGCTTCGTCATCGAATATGACTGTGATGTCCTGCGCAGGATGTGTGGAACACATCCAAAATTGGGGTAAGCAATTGTAACTGGTTGGTGGTTTTTCGCCACCCCTCTGAAAAATATCTAAGTCAGTTGGGCTTGTTATTCCCAACTGAATGGAAAGTCATTCAAAATTCCATGGTTCCAGTCACCACCAATCAGGTAAGTTTCTTGGCTTCAAGATCCTCCAGTAGTTTTGGGATCGCCAGATTGGGGTCAGCATCCCACAGGGTCCTCCATAAAAACAATGAGGACAGCAATGGACAGCAGCTGTTTCCTGAGCCCTCGAAATGCTGGCAGCACAGACAAACACCCACTGACCCAACAATCAACGGAAGTATATGGAAGTATCATGACTCCACAAACAACCATCAATACTAATGGTTTCTTTATCATCATCATCATCATCATTGACTCCACAAATAGTATTCTTGTCATCGCCTTTCCATGGTTCTCGCTTCCATTGACATTCGACTTATGTAGAAAGGTCAAATTTGTCTTGTGAGGCAATCCAGATCACCCATCAAAGAGCGGCAGTAACCACCTTCCGGGAATCTTCATGCCATCCCCAAAATAAGATAAAACAAGGAGAATCACGAGAATTTCATATGGCAGTGTGCCAAAACCTTGTACCCCTGGTGAACCCCAAAATAGCTTGTAAATGGATGTTCATCCCCCTAAAAATGCTATTAATAGGTATTGATCCATAGCCATATGAACTAATGCTGGTTGGTGGTTTTTCGCCACCCCTCTGAAAAATGATGGAGTTCGTCAGCTGGGATGATGACATTCTGCACATTCCCAAGATATGGACAAATAAAACATGTTCCACACCACCAACCAGAAAAATGTGAATAAAGCACTCATAAACCAGCCATAAAATCGTTTGCACCACCCATTTCTGGTGGGATTTTGATGATTTTGATGGGGTCTTTTTGACCGCAAGGGTCATGATCCGCCTTCCAGAAGCCACAAGAAATGGATGGATCTAACCTCAAGGCCGAAAGCGAAAAAGGGGGGCTTCCGGCTGCTTGAAAAGCTTGGGAAATCCAGATAAAGGCGACCCGAACCTTATATCACTTGTATCATCTTATATCTACCCTCTGGTAAACTAACAGTTTGCGAACTTGAAAATGGCCATAGAAATCGTGGATTTACCCATTAAAAATTGTGATTTTCCATAGCTATGTTTACCAGAGGGTATACCTAGAGAGCGAAGTTTCTGGCAGGTTTCTTGGGCACATTCCGGATGAAATTCACGACAGATCTTTCCATCGTTTCATGTTGCCCGCAAAATCGTGTACCCCAAAATCTTCCCAAAACAGCTTCGCATGTGAGTTTGGAAAACGACCACTTGCATTTCCTCAAGAAAATCCATGTGTTTAACCACTATTTCAAGCGATTCAACCACCACCACATTTTGACATTAGCGATCCACAAGCAAGCACTGAAACAGCCGAACAAAAACTTATCATGTTTGATTCATGGGGATTGTCACAATGAACAATTATAAACCGGCCCGAATAAAAATGTTGGGTACTGAAGCATATGCATATTGTATATATATATATATTAATCAACTATAGCTATCATCCCAAATAATAATGTTGGGTAGTATATAACTCCCTATAGTCATCAACCAGTCCTCAAGTTCTTGAACTGTACTGTCACAAAAAAGCTGCCGTCAAATTTTTCACAGCCTAGCAGCGGGCCATCTTCATGGACAGATCCAAAAGCGATGCTGGACTTTGTGACCTAAGCTGGTGGTTGAGCCACCCCTCTGAAAAATATGAGTCAGTTGGGATTATCAAATTCCCAACTGAATGGAAAGTCATAAAATTCATGTTCCAAAGTTCACCAACCTCACAACACATTGCAACAAATCAACAAATTACGACAACTAGACACAATTTCTCAAGATGTTGACATACATCCACAAATGTTGCAAAGAAAAAGATGGCGGCTGACATTCTCTGCAACTCGTAACTCTTGTGAATCCCAGTTTCAGCAGCAACTCGCTTGGACCACCAGTGCCATTTTTATTTTCAAATCGAATTCGGATTTTTGATCTTGGTACTTCAGGTCATAAGTATGATATGGAAGGCTATGGAAGGCTATCGAAAGCTCTGGCTTTCGGCCGGAAGGAAGTACAGTATGGTATGCTACCAGAACTGCCTAAAAAAATTCGGATTTCTATCCTCACCATAACCCATGATCCATGGTGCTGGTATGCATACATGACATGACTGGGGTATATTGATGGGATCCATGGAGCACCATAGCATCAACCATTCCCCAGTCCCACAAGGATCGGCTCCGGGATGCCCAGAAACAGTCTGCTCCCACTTGACACATTGGCGACTTCGTTTCGAAGGTCTCAGGTGAGTTTCCAAAGACACCTGGGTCACTGAAAAAAATGGAGATCGATGTTAAACAGCCATATGTTTTTTGTGGTGTTGAAATGCAAAGTCAACAACCAACTCGAATTGTTTTCCTCATGTTTTCCTCATGTTGTTGTTGTTGTTGTTGTTTTCCATACCCAGATATGGGTCGAAATTCTCATTCCATCTCAGATCTGACAGGGATGACCCCCAAATCACAAAGACCACAAGTTGATTTTAGGGCAACAGACTCTGGTACATCTATTTATATGTTTTATATATGTTTTTTGTGCAGGAACTATAATCCCATTTACCTTTTTTGGGGTACAGAATGTGGATCATTCGGAGAGTGTCATCAGGACATCGACGTCCAGAAAATGTCTCATGAAACCAACAAGTCTCAGGAGCGCAGAGAAAACTCTTCTGCTTAATTTTCTGAGTTTCATGATGCAAAATATGGAGTTTCAGTATGTTTCAGTATGTTTCAGCATGTTTCAGTATGTGATGATGGGCGGCCATGAAAGCCAGAAAATTGATGATATCACTGGGTCTAATCATTTCAGGTGGAGATTGAATGACAGGCATCACAACAACCAACCAGTTTTTCTCATGCTGTATGTACCCTCCTGTAAACGTTTACATAGATGTGGAAAAACAGGGAAAAAACAATGAAAAAACCCTTTGTAAATCATGTTCTATCGGAAATCATGGCTTCTCCACATCTATCTTAGCATACCCCAGGGATCTCTCTTTTTTCATCAATTCTACTGTCAATTCCACTGGCCAGTCCGAGTGCGTCACTGCTTTGTGTGCCTTCACCCAAACTCCATAACTGGCTCGCGCAGCACCGATGGGCACCCGATAACATGCGCGTGCCTCAGTGCGGAGGCAGACAAATGTCTTTCAATCAGCACAGGGTCAACGGCTAAGATGCTGTGTCCGTCGCATCTCATGACAAATATCCTCAAAGAAATGGATTCTGTTCCATTTCTGTCGGAATCATGAAAAAAATCCTGATGTTAGCAAATTCAGGGGATTTCCATAAATGGGGGTACCCCTAAATCATCCATTCTAATCGGATTTTCCTTTATAAACCATCCAGCTGTTGGGGTACCCCCATGACTATCTATGGATTGCCAAATGTTGCCAAAGATCATTTATGGTATCTACATGTTGCCAAATGATGTAGAAACCCCCATTTATGGCAAGCCCTTCCGGTTGCTGCATCTTGGCTCCTGGCTGGTAACGGTGGTGGACCGAAAAACAACACCGGCCACGTGGCATCTAAGGTGTCCTGCGAGGCCATCGTGAACCATACCCAAATCGTCACCATCTATGGGTTGGATTGAAACCATCCACAAGTGGTTACCTCTGGTAAACTAACATAGCTATGGAAAATCACCATTTTTCATGGGAAAATCCACTATTTCGATTGCCATTTTCAAGTTCGCAAACTGTAAACGTTTACCAGGCCGGGTAGTTTTGGTTTGCCATGATTCATCATGGCTTCGATGTTTTTTTTCCATGAAAAAACATCACCAGATCCGAGTTCCGGTCGCGCAGCAATCGCGAAAGGGCCCGACGATCGTGACCTGATCCGGTTCCGCTCCCGGCGATCCAATGATCCAATGGTGGATGACAACATCCCATCCCATGGATTATGAAAATAAGAGGTATACAAGGTGGTGCCCCCCCAGTTATAAATGGGTTATAAGCCCTTTAACTATAGATAAATCACCAACAAAAACCATAGTGAAATTGGACTTATAAACCAACTTAGCTAACTATGGGGCACCATCCTGTATGGTTATGATAGGTTTATAAATGATGATCATGAAAAATGCTAGGATTCCTATTATAAATTGATATAAATTCTATAAGTGGTTATTAATGATGTTATTAATGATAGGTTTTGATTGTAAAATGCATCTATAATTGTCTGTTAATTTAATGGCTGGTAGGAAAACATATTCCTATTGCAGTATTGATTCTTAATAATCCCCAATTATATTCTACAATTATCAATTGTTAGTTAGTACATATTCCTATTATAGATTCTTCACACTCCCCAATAAAACAGTTAGATTCCAACTTCCTTCATTAACCAATGGGGAATGTCATCTGTGTATCAAACAAGTGCGCCTTGGTCGGCCATCCATGAAATTGGGAATCCAAAAACACTATGGATACTATGGAGGTTTCCTGAAATGGGTGTACCCTCTGGTAAACGTTTACATAACTATGGAAAATCACCATTTATAATAGGTAAATCAACTGTAAATGATCATTTTCAATAGCTATGTTAAATTACCAGAGGGTACCCCCACATCATGCATTTTGATAGGATTTTCCATTGTAAACATTGTAAACCATCCAGCTGTTGGGGTACCCCCAAAAAAACATCATGACTAGATGGAGATACGGAGAGCATGGGGTACCTCATCAAGATAAACCCATTATCTCCATGGGCTATATCCGCATAATATATCCGCATAATATATCCGCATAACATCTCATTGTATCCTAGTAATATAGATATAAACTGCTTGGTTCAAGCCCCCATCAAAACATCTGAAACCATCTCAATTTACGTAGGTCTTTCATGCCGCGCCCTCGGATTGCGTCTTTTTCTTTAGCAGTC